ATACTTTTAACAATTTCATTTGTTAATTCACAATATTGAAATTAAAATCTGGTTTTTATCAACTAAACCTAATTTCATTTAATCCACTGAGTATGGTGGGGTCCACAGTGGGGTCTCTTATCAGTTTCAATGATGTGGTCCGCCGCATAATCCCGACCCACGGCCGACAGTGCACCACACCGCCGTCCTACGTGGACTAAGGCTGTCCACATCAATGTCTAAAGTGTGAAAGTCTAATAAAGTGGTTTTTATCTTTGCCATAATGTTGTTACATTACACTACATTTACATTTATTTAGATGTACCATATTAATTGTGTAAGTTTACCAAGTCATCAATGCTTTTGAGGATTATATAATCCATATGCCTTATAGAAAGTCGGTTCATTTAAATAATAATGCGACTTTTTCCCATGCCTTCTTGCCTTCTTACAATTCTAGTTAAGTATCGTAGCCCACAAAAAATTGGTTTATTTCTTCATTCTTATTACATTTTATTGTAGTTATGAGGTATGAGGTTTTATTCCATGAATCTAGAAGTGGATACGAGTAAGCTTTTGGTCAGATAGTTTAAAACTGTATTCCAAGTGTCAAATCAATGCAAGAAAATATGAACAATAAATTTAATTTATTTTACTATATTTTATTCTAATTCACACAAACTTAAATTGTTATATGCAAATGAGTTTTTTTTTTTAATTTGGTCTTCAAAATTCTTTTAAGAGAAATATCACAAATATTTTCGGTTTATAGATCGAATCAAGTTTTATTTTCATAACAAGTCTTCAAATTCTATGGGTTAATATTTTTCTTTTGTTTCATACTTTTTATTGTTTAGTTGAATTGGAGAAATTATATGTAATGTTCTTTTTCTGCTTCATACTTTTTATTGTTTAGTTGAATTGGAGAATTACCTGCATAAATCATTTCAATGCTAAAGTTAATGTTCACAATATTAACAATAAATAAATGAACAATGAAGGTAACCAACCTACTACAAACCTATATTTATAGATTTTGAGGAGAACTTCTAGTTAGTGTTGATCTAATTACGGTCTAATTTATAATGATCTGATTTAATATAATTATTCTTAACATTAGTTCTGGTTTAGTTTGACTGTTTGACTATCCGACCAATATCTATAGAGTCAATAGTTCAATTCTTAAAATGACCGGACAATTATACTAACACTTATGAATAAATTTATATAAGAAAATACAAGTTTTAATTTTAAATATTAAGATACTAAATTTGTAATTTTTTTTCTTTATTTATTATTCTTTGTGTCTATTTATGTTAAGTTATCATGTTAAATAATTGGTTTGTAATAACGTTTCAATTTCTCTTTTCTTTTAAGTCATACGTTGTTTTATGAAGACATATCTGGTTGTAATTCTATAAAAAAAGATTATTTAGATAAAATTACGTAACAAGTTTGATTGATTGTAATTATAATATAAGTTTGCTCAGATTTTGTTATAGAATAGGTTTGTTTGCTTTCAAATTGTAGAATACTCTATAATACTTTCATAATTCATCGTATAGTTCTCAAAATACAACAAATATCTTCTAGTCTAGATAGCTTTAAAAAACCAAATATTGAATAGTTATTCTTGTTACACATTCTGTGGTCCTTTAATGAAGTCAAGAACAAAAGAAATAAAATCAGCCTGTTGCTTATCCAACTCCATAGAGAGTTTGTCTAGTATGGTCAATAAAAAATGATCGTAATATATTTTTTTACACAAATTTATTAAAAGAAGTTTGACCGTTTTAAGTAATTTGAGATTGAGATAAATTAAATGAAAAATGAGACTCACAAATTCAATTAAACTTACACCATTTGTAGTTACTCGAAAGAAAATATATCATTGTTATAGAAAGATGTATAATTTCTCGAAAGAACTTTTTCTAGGTTGAGTTCTTGAATCACTTTGCTTGTATTTCTCTTCACTTTATTTTACATTATCTTAACTCCTTTATAATAATAAAAAATCACGCCAAAAACTAAAAAGTGAAACAGAGATGAGATTATAAGAGGTAATAAGTAAATGAAAACTTTGGAAGTTATTAATGGAAGACATAAGAGGGTAAATTATGGCTTAGTAATCGCTTTCCTTATCTTTTGATCCAAACGCCGAACTAAAGAACAAAGCAATAAATAAAGGTAAATAGTTTGCATCCAAATTGGGATATGAGAAGGACACGTGCACCATAAATATTATGATACAAAATTACTACTAATGAAGAATGATTTTGCGTAAAAGATGTGATTTCACTAGCCACTAACAATGCTTGGTGCATGCGTTTCACTTCGCTTTCTTCCTATTTTGTAATTTTGTGACCTAATTGAACCACGCATTTTCCTAAATGGAGGACCACCTCAGATCATAGAAGATTCATTTGAACTCCCACTGTTCTAACAGCTGCAACAAAATATAATGAGGTTTTGGTGATCAATATATAGAAACAGTGAATAGAGTATCATTTGACATGACTACTGCCACAAATCATTATATCCATGTTTGTTATATATATGTCACTGTAATAAGCCATGAAAGGGATTGCATCCAATCCAAGTTCTCCATGTATATATAGCCACACATTTCCTTTTCCTTTAACACAAATATATGAGTAATTTCGCATTTTTTAATCATGAGATGGGATGTGTAGACTTCTATATTAGATATATATTAAAATGTTGGAATAGCATAATAAAAAAATTCACACACATTTAACATTAATTTTTTTTAACATTCTACTTCTACTAAAAATAAAATATATATATATATATATATATATATATATATATATATATATATACATTATAAAAATAGATGCAAATATCACCGTAAAATAATTTTCTAATATTAAATTAGATTTAAAATTTACTTTTTTAAGATAATATCAAAATTTTCAAAAATCTATCAAATGTAAAGTTAAATTAAACTTAAAATTTTTTTCTTAATAATTTTATATTAAACATAATATTAAATTTCTTATATAACTTTTATATAATGATACCTCATCCTTTTTCTAAAATTTCTAATAAGGATTAAGCTAAACTTCAAAACAAATTTTAACTTTTAATTTGGTTTTGGTTAACAAAGACTATGAGAAAGGTGTGTAAGAGAAGGCATGTTTTTAGTTAATTGGAAAGATTTTGCTCAGAGTCTTAGTTTTTTTTTTAATTTATTTATGTTTATCTTCTACGTCAAGGTTGGAGACAAAGGTTCACCAACCCACCAAAGACATGTTGGTTGTTCCCACTCCTCAACCTATGTTCATTCCCCATTTTCTTCATTCCAACTTCACAAAAGTTCTACAATGGGTACATTCAAATGAACACAATTTGGCTTTAGAGAATGAAAAGCACGAGAAAAACATTCATGTAAATAATCCCTCTTCATTATAATTTTGTTTAGACCATAATTAATTAAGTTGAGATCACCTTGCTTTAAGAAGGATTTTTTATTCATCACGTAGAAATATAGATTGTCTTGTGAATTTTGATGCATAGTACATAGTAAAAGTGAAGTAACTTGGATTAGAGTTGTGTTGGATTAAGGTATATTTGGATTTGGGGCACGGTAAGTTGAATTGGCATGAGTTAAATAGTAAAATAATATATGTCTGTAGGATCATGATCATGGTCTACTTAATTAAGGCCTAAATAGGTAGGTTTTTAGTTTCGGTCTCTTGAAAAAAATGTCTCATTTTTTTTTATTAGTAAATAAATTACAATTGTCATTTATTAGTATATAAGAAGATCTCATTTTTTAAGTTTGTTTGAAGTTTTCCAAACTCTTGATATAAATTATTTTATTAATAAATAGAAATCTCATTTTCAAGTTTGTGTTAAATCTCTAAAATTTTTAGTTGTCCTGTTTAGGATAAATGGATTTATTTAAACAGATTTATTTGCGTTCAGATAGGTTTTATAACAACTTCTATATAAAATAATAAAAAACGAAATTAACTTTTTCATATGTTAAAATAAAGTTATCGTAACTCAAAAGTTATCTTGCCTCTCACTTGATTTAATGTAACTACTCTCTCCATATTTAATTATATCACTACTTAAAAAAAAAGATTTTATTATATTATTATATTATTATAAAAAAGTTGTTGCTAAGGTTCTTTTGTGTCAAAATAGAAGTGAGGAAATAATGTCTTCCGAATAATTCTTGTTTTTTCCTAAATCATTAACAGTTCCTTCACAAACAATCAAGATTATCTTAAAAATCAAGGTTTAATGTCTCGGTAGGTCCCTATTTTTGGCGTGAATCTCAAATAGGTTCCTTTTCTTTTCGGCGTCTCAATTGGGTCCCCATTTTTGTAAAATTGTAACAATTAGGGGTCTGTCGTCAAATTGAACAAACGGTCGTTTAATTGTTTGTTACGTAATGAACAGTGTTTTCAGTAATCACACGTGGCATGATTCCCATCTCACACTAACTTTGTATCAAACACCTTCTCTTCAACCTTGCCACGTCAGCCCTATCATCTTCCACCCACTGAAACCCTAACCCTAGCCGCCACTGCCGTTCCGCTTCCGCCGCTCCCGCCAATGCCGCAAGTCGTCGCCACGGCTAGAACATCATCTCCTTCCTTTCTCGCCGGCGCATCAACGGACCACAACGGTGCCTCAACCAAGACCGCCGCCACCTTCCTTCTCCTTCGCGCAAGGGTTCGAAGCCACCACGACCGCCATCTGCGAGTTCGTCTTCGCATCACCAACATCTCGCCGCCATCGCACAAAGTCACAGTCCTCTTCTCCACCACCATCAACCACGCCAGCCGCCGCGACACCACTCTTCTCACACGCAAATCATCGAACACGCACCAGCCACCGCAACCTTCATCGCGCCTCTCCTCCATTGACGAAAGCTTGGCACAACCATCTTCATCTTCTCCATTCTCGGAACCCAATCGCACCTTCATCTCGGATCATCACCTCGCGATCTTCACCAACCATGCCGCGACCACCACTAACCTCCCTCACCTCGCGAGCTTCCTCGCCGTTGCCCAACCTCCATGGCAGCCATCACACGCCACCGCACCTTCCCGCTCTACAATCGAACCTGCATAAAAACCAGACCTGCAAAGAAGAACCCAACAATCACAAATCGCGCACTGTTAGGCGCAGGACCCATGGCTTCCTCAAGCGGAACATGTTCGGGTTCATCCTCTCTGCTTCAGAACTCGGGTTGTGTGTGAGAAGGAGAGGGGAAGATGAAGTGGGAATTACCACTGTGCCCTTTCTCTAAAGCTGATTTAACTTCATAGTTTTTAATACAAAACTCTTTTTTAATTCCACGTATGATTACTAAAAACACTGACCATGCCACGTAAAAAACAATTAAACGGACGTTTGTCCAATTTGACGGTAGGCCTTTAATTGTTAAAATTTTACAAAAATGGGGACCCAATTGAGACGCCGAAAAGAAAAGGGACCTATTTGAGATTCACGCCGAAAATAGGGACCTACCGAGACATTAAACCAAAAATCAATAAAAATGAAAGCAAGACTATTTAGTGTGTTCTGCTTTTATTGAATACCAAATTTAAATGTACATCGAATATAATTTCTCTCTCACGAAGTTTTACAGTTCAACTTAACTCAATCAGAATTCAAATGTAACCTTAATATACGACGAAACATAGTCTCAATTAATATTTCAACAATTTTAATTTCAGAAAACCTTGCTTAGTATACGCAACAGTAATTAATAGAAATAGTTGATGTTATTCTACAAGTTATACGTGTATTATATTGATTAGATTGTTGAAATTTCTTGAATGGCTTTTTTATTTTTTAAATGAAAGTTACTATCAAATTTATAAGAATTATCATGCTTTAGATAAATTTCAAGATATTTGTAGCTTAATATCAAATAATAATTGGATTATTCACGTCTTTCAATACTAAACAATAAATAAATAAATAAATAAATAAATAAATAAATAAATGAAACACTCTTCATATATCCTATCATAAGCATGTCTTGTTTGCAAATTTTTATTGACGCAAAAAGATCTTATTGCGAATGAGGAAACATGTAATTAGGATATTTTTAAATTTCCTTCGCTGAATTCTTTACTTTTCTTTCATCATAAATAAAGATTAAATGTATATAGTAATCGAACAATTTTTTAAATCCCTTACACAGTGTCAAGGCGATTAATGGACTCGAACTTATTAGTAGTTTTAAAAGCTTAAAGTTTTCAATTCCATGAGTAGTTAAAGGTTTAACTTCACTCATAATTGATTGGTGAACTAGTTCAAGTAAAAAAAAATGTATGTCTAATGTTACTTTGATTAGACATACATGATTTTTCAACAACAAAGTCTTCATTATTAACTTTATTATATCTTAAAATTTCTCAAAGCTTTAATGATAAGTTTTATATAAATTTGTGAACATTCTAAAAAATTCTTTGTTTTAATGGAAGAGTACACTATAAAAGAAAGTGTGAAGTTAAGAGGGTATTCTTGGGAATTAAAATATAAATTTAAGTTCAACATTGATTAAAAATAAGAGAGTAGTACACCATATACAGAAGTTTCCTTAATCCATTGTTTTAAAATTTTAAATTAATGGTCAATTCCTATATAATTAGATTCAAGTTTCATTAATATTGTTTGAATCCCTCACTTTAATAAAATTAATAGATACTTCATGTAAACCCATAAATTAATGTTATCATATTTTATTTCTAGTCGTCTTAGTTTCCTCTTTTAAAAAATATAGATTGTCATGAGATGTATTCGTCAACCTTATATATAATCTTTTAATTCAGTTACAAAAATTTTAGCTATATTTAGCGTTTGATGGTTAAGACCTTATTAAACATAACTAGGAACAAATAAGTTTAAGTTGTTCTTGTTTAAAATTATATTCAAATCGATTTAAACAGTTTCTTTGATGAATATTTGATAGAATTAAAAAAACAAATAAATAGGAGTGAATTAAATTAGTGTAGAACGACATGAATATGGTTCAATGGTTGATTAAAGGATAAATAAGAAAATATTTTTCTTCGAATTTCTTTACATAACACAAGATTAATCAAACGATTATTCAATGATTTGATACTAACAACAAACGAAATAATTTAAAAGATGGAGAAGATAGAAAACTTTCATGAGAAAACTCAATATAAGATGAGAAATTAATTTCTTGCTGAACTCATGAAAACTAGAAAAATCTCGGTAATATTTAATTCAATGTATTATTTATGTTACAAATGAAATTTTAAAACTTATGGTTTAGTTTGAGAATAGTAAGAATTTAGAATGTGTTTTGTTGATTGTTGATGATGTTTATTGTTGAATAAAATTGAAGATATTAAGGTTTATTCAATTTTGTAATATAGAGACCATTTAGATAGATTATATAATAATATTGAATCTTTTCTAATGTTCTTTTATAAATTAATTTGAGTTTAGGAATTGAAAATTTAATGAAAATTTGTGAAATGAACTCAGAAATAAAAAACTGAAATTAAGAGAATTAAAATAAATATATCAATCACAAATTCAATAACTAAACAATTTGAAAATCATAGTGATTTAAAGATTCACATTTAGTTAATCAACTAAATAGTTTATGTGATAAATCTCAATATTATGCAATCCAATATGTATTTAGTTATCAAATTAAGATTCAACCGATTCCTAATTTAAATTATAACTTCATAAATTCAAACTAATATCACAAAGTAAAACTAAAATTTGAGAAGAGAATAACAAACTCAGAACAAAGAATCATTAGTGCAAAACTTCATTAATATTGATTTCATGAATTGATCTCTACAAATTTAGTTCTCCATTATTGACTATCAAAAATAAAAAAGAACAATAATAAAAGAATATGAAAAGACAAAAGTGAAAATAGAGAGAGAAAAAAGGGTAAGTAAAACCAATAAAACTTTTAAAATTTGACAAATGATTTCTTTCCTTTAATTCTAAACACAATTAGGCCTTATATAGGCTTTAAAAACTTAAGAAATTATGGGTCTAATCATGGGTTCAAATCAAGTTTAAAAGTTTAACTATAAATATATAAGCTAATACAACTAAAATCAAATTTGTAGGTTCCTTTATAAAATTTCAAACAAATTTGTTTTAATTTCTAAAAATAGACCTAATTATAGGTTTGGTCTTCATTTTTCTTCTGTTGGTTCAACTTCGTTCACTTATCTTTTTCTTAATTTAGTTCTTTTATATTTTTAAAAAAATTCAATTTGGTCATTTCCTTTATATTAACGTTAACAATGTGTTTGTATATGTCACATGTCAATTGGTAAAATCTTCCTTTTAATTTTAAAAAATAAAAAAATGTTATGTGTCGGGTTGTGATCATTTCACGTGGCAATAATAGTACGACGTGCCACTCTTACTACTTGTTTTCAATTTAATCTTTATGTTTATAATTTTGGTTCAATTTAGTCTCCATATTTATAATTTTGATTCAATTTAGTCACTCTTTTATTAAAATTGAGTAATTTGGCCTCTTTCTAATTTGACACCAAATTAGTAATTAATTTTAATTACAACTTATAAATACATGTTAAATATTTCTTTATAATTTATATATAATATTACTTCATCTAATTATTCAAATTAACCTTATTAAAACTTCTAATTTTTCAAAAATATTTAAAATATAAATATAAAGTAATAGTTGTAATTTGTAAAAGTTTAATGTGACACGTGGCACGATCATGATTTGACACATGATATCTTTTGTTTTTTTTTAAATTTAGGTTTAAACCCTCCCTTGGTCCTCAAGTTTGTATGAAAATCTCAGTTGGGTCCTCAAGTTTTTTTCTGTCTCAATTGGGTCATATTTTTTGTAAAAGTGAGCACATTGTACCATAACCGTTAAGTGGTGTGAGACGGCGTTAAATTGGTGTGAGCTGGATTTTTTCATTTACTGACGTGGCATTGTGCACTAAAATTGAAAGGCCACGTGGTGATGTTTTGACTAGAACCAGATCTTCTCCTCCCTCCCCCTCTGCTTCCTTCCATCGGCGCCACCCAGCTGCAACCTGTTCACCTTCCATGGCTTTGGGAACACTACCAATCCCCGGATGTGGAGCAACAGCATATTCCATTTTCTCCCTCTTTCTTTCAATACTATCACCTTGCACTCTAGCAGAACCATTCCCTTGCTTATCAATCAATGTCGTTCTTCCCTCATTGTTATCATATCTATCTTTTACCCTAAAAACTTCCTCCCTCCTCGATGAAGTTCCCCTAGATACACGCAAGTCCGACACAGCCTTGCTCGATAAACGCTCCCTTGGACTCTCCTTACTGTCTTCAATGGCAGAGGGCTTGCAACACATGCCACCCATTATGCCCACTAACCAACTAACCCTCCTTCTCACAGAACCAGTTCCCGGTCTCAATACATTCACCCCGTTATCAGCATTCCCAGATTTCTATATTTCTATCTTATTATCCTCTTCAAATTGTGGCAAAATCGGGACTTTAATTGTTAGATACCGTGATCAAGAGGAAAGGGACCAGAACAGAATAACTAGTTGTAAGGTATGCCAGATCTATCATCATCATCATCAAGAATATGGAAGCAATGAGGGGAGAAGGCAAATAAATAGTGAAAAGAAAAAGTTATTAGATGATACAGAAAAGATTACGGAAAGAGTATGAAGTCAT